GGGCCGGTGCATCCCGGAGGGGTCGGGGGGGGGGGGGAAGGGGGGACCCCCCCTCGGGTCCACGGAGTTTTTTCCCGGGGTGTGCTCAGCCCCCCGACAGCCCGGAGGATGCAGGATGCTGGGGACGGATCCTGCACCCGGGTCCCCAGCGCTGGGGCAGGGGGGGTCGGGGTTAAGGCTGTGCCCTGGCAGGGATGGCCGGGATCTGCCGACGGCTCTTCCCAGGGCCGGGAATCCTCTGGGACAAGGAGGGTCCGAACCTGTGGGTCTTCTTGCTGAAGGATCTGCGGATGCTGAACCTTTTCGGGGGGAAGGTTGGAGATATCCTGGGAGAAGAATGGAGGGAGGGGGATGCAGAGCCCACCTCCAGCCCTGCAACCCCCCCCCGAGCACATCTGGAGGGTGGGAAGGGGCTCGGGGGAAACACCATATACGCTCACCCCACCCTTAGGGTCTCCCCTGGGTGCCTGCTCTCGGCAGAGGGGCATCCCGGGACACACGGACCTTCCTGCAGGAGCATCCTCGTGGCCCAGCCCAGATAGACCACAGGCTGCAGATGGGTCCCGTGGGCTGTGTGCCCATGGCAAAAGGTTTTTTCCATCTATCCCACCCTGGATAGGGTTTAGCTGCTGGCACTGGGGTGTGGAGCAAGTTTCCCTAAGCCAGCAGGCTGCAGCCGTGGGAAGAGGCAAACCCTCCTGTGGCCTCCTCTCGCTGCTGGGGCTCTTTCCTCTCCAGAATAAGCCTGGCTCCATGGCCAACCTCTCCTCCTGCCATCTCCTATGCTGGGAGATGGTCCCATGCCAGGCTGACCCCCAGAGAGGGTTTGGTGGGAATGGTGTGGATGGGAAAGGGGTGGCCCACAGCAGCCCACAGTCCCCATCACGCTGGATAGACCCAAATCTCCTTTTTCTGTGCCTTGTTTAGTTGAGACCAGCACATGCTGCTGGAGAAAAACAGTTCCCCGTGTTGGAACAGCCAGGAGGTTTTGTGGGGTGGAGGCTGACAGCCCTTAGGGATGGTGGCCACCAAGTGTCCCCAGAGCCACAGCCTTACACAGAGGCTCCAGGAGCCAAAACCAAGCTCCGTCCCCCCAAATGCTGGTCCTGTGGAACTGGGGGACAAGGAGGCACCTCTGGATGTGACCCCCCCGTTCCTCCCCCAGGGCTCCCAGCATGTCCCCTGGCTCCAGCAACCCCAGCCAGCCGTGCAGCTAAACTGTAGCCACCAATGCTGGCAAGGAGAGGTTTGTGCCCCGAGCTTGGACCACATGGAGCTCAAAGGAACGTTTGAGCAAAGTCCCCTGCACCCCCCCACCCCTGGCTCCGTGGGGTGCCACACATCCCGGTGCCAGCCACGGCAGGGACCGTCCCACAGCCACGTGGGTCCCCACAATGGCTGTTTGTCCCCCAGTTGGCCGCTACGTCTTGACTCTTTCCTCCCCTTGGCTGCTCCGTTTCAGGGCTGTGCTCCGTTCCCTCTGCAGCCCCTTGCACGTCCCATGGGCATCCTACCCACGGCACCCATGCCTGCGTGGGCACCCGAACCTTACTGAGCCAGGGAGGCTCCGGCACGGAGCTTGCTCATCCTCTCAGCGTTAAAGGAGGGAAGCGATGTGCCATTAAGTTTCAACGGGACGTGTTACAGATGCCCCACCATGAGCTAAACGGCTGAGCTGTGGTGTCACACATGCGATGTCACCTCCATTTCCAGCTGGGTCACCCCGTCCTTCCCCATGCCCTGAGGCCATGGGCTTTGCAAAGCCACCCTACATTTGTTTTCCAGAGGGAACCACCTCCCCACAGCCGCCCTAGTGCTCACTGCGTAACGGAGGCGACCGGTACCTAAATATACCCGCACGGTTCCCGGGAGGTGCCGGGCTTGTGATCACCGTCAGACGCAGCCGTCGGCGATAAATAGGCCGGGGCGAAGCAGATCTGGGGGAAGGAGAGTCATTTTGTAGGAAGGGCACAGCCCTAAAGAGGTGTCCTAGCTCTGCCGGGGCTCCCCGGGGACCTCCGCTCCCCCCAGCATCCATGGCGGCATCGCACCAAAATAGTTTCGGGATCTGGGACTCGGTCTCTCCGAGTTCCCGTTGCCCAGTTTGTAGAAGGAGGATAACGAGTCCTCCAGTGCCTTTGGGGCTGGGAATGGGGCAGGCCGGGCTTGTGCCGCATCCCGGTGCTGGGGGGATGGAGAGGACCCCCCCACAGCCCGTGTCGGTGTGGGGCGAGGGGGCAGCGGGGCGGTTTGGCCCCATTGGAGATAAAGCCTGCGAGTCCCCTTCTTTGTCACTTTGTCACTCTCCAGCTTTGTCCTGCTCTAGCCGAGAGCCGAACCTTGCTCTCCACCACGCGCTCGGCCCTTTCAACCCAGCGCCCCCCGGCCCCCCCCAAAACCCCCTTTATCGCCCCCCCTTTGCCTCCTGCCCCACCCCCCCCCGCTTTTAGCATTTTTTTCCCCTTTTAAATTTTTTTTTTACCCCCCTCTTTATTTATTTATTTAATTAATTGATTGATTTCTTTATTCCCCCCCCAAAGCCCAACCCGAAAATAGCTGCTCGCCGTGATGTCACCGGGCTGGTACCCGGTTCGTACAGTCCCTTGACCAATCAGCGGCGGCGGTTGGGCTGAGCCAATCCCCGGCCGGGATGGTGATGTCATATGGGGGGGGCACTGGGGGGGCCCCCCCGGGTGGGATGCTCCGCGCAACCCCCCGCGCCCGCGTTAAATGAGCCCGGAGAGCAAAGCGGAGAAGCAAAGCCCAAGCGCCGGCGGTGGGGTGAGTGCCTGGGGGGGGGCTTGGTTAATTGGGGGGGGATGTTTTTTGGAAGGTAAAGGGGTGAAAAGTTTTTTGGGAGGGGTATTTTGGGGGGGGGAGGTTTCCAGGGGGTCCCTGGATGTCGCTTTCTGGCCGCGACGCCCCTTTTTGTCCCCCTCCCCGTCCCTCCAGCATCCTCCTCGCCATGCCCGGGGCACCCCCCAGCCCACCCACTCATCCCCCCCCCGCGCCCCCAACTCCTTTTGGGGCAACCCACGCCCGGGCTGCGGGGATGGAGCTCAGCACCCTCCGTCTCGCCTCGCCCCAGCAGCCCCGGGGGACCCAGCACCCTCGGGACCCCCAGAGGACTGCGGCACCTCGTCCGGAGCCCCCCCCCCCTCAAAATGTGGGACCCCCCCTCCGGCAGACAGGACCAGCCTGAATTATTGATGGTGGCAGGATGCTGGCGGGGTGACCTGCTCTCAGCAGGCGCTGAAATATTTATTCCAGGGAGGGGGCAAAAGCGAGGGGGAGGAAGGGAGGAGGCGGCTGCCATCCTGCTTCGCCCCCAGAGCGGGGGGGGGAAGCATCCATCGCTTCGCAAGCTTCAAGGGAGGGAGCGGGGAGCCCCCTCCATTCCTCCATCCCCTCCCTCCATCGCTGGGTGCTTCTGCCAGGGAAGGGGATGGGAGGTGGCGGGGTGGGGGTCCCCACCGTCTCAGGGGATCCCCAACATCTCAGGGGATCTCCAGAGGGGATCAGGGTGTAAAACCGGGTTACAGCCCTTTGGGGGGGCTGGATCGGGCCCCCTCCCTGCCACGTGCACCTCGCTGGGAGCAGGATGGTTCCCACAGCCTCTCTGCTGGGGGTTTTGAGTGAGGTTTCAGCCTGGGGGTGACAGCAGAGGCAGGGCCCCAACCACACCCCGCTCCCCTTGGGCTGGGCGTGCGGGTCGTGGTGTGGGGGGGAACCATTACTGGGAAGCAGAAAGGGAATGGAGCTCAGCAGGGAGGGGTTTCCCTCTTGGAGGAGCCTCCAAACACCTTCAACAGCATCTTCATCCAGCGAGGAGGACTGGGGCTGGCAGCCCACCACCCACCTTAACCCCCACCCCCACCCCAGCTGGCAGCAACCCCAAGGATGGACCCCATCTTCCTCCCCATTTTGGGTCTAATGGGCGATTTCTGCATTTTATCCTGCAGCCAGGGCATGAACGCCACGTGAGGTCTGGGAGAAGGGTTTCTGTAGCATGAAATGCATCCAGGTTCCGCCCCCCCCCCCCCCCCCAAAGCGCAGGGAAGATGAAGATTTGGGGTGGTAATGCGAGGAGTGGGGAGGCACGAGCAAGGGAAATGCTTTCAGCAAACGCAGGCAGCTTCCAGCCGGGCTGTCGGAGCTCCAGGCGCAGCCTCGTGTCGGCACACGAGCCATCGGAGCATCCCCACCCTGCCTTGGCACCGCGCTCAGCAAGAGCCATCTAGGGCAAAACCCTTCAGCCCAGTGAGGAGGAAAGCCCTGGGTGGGGGGTAGCCCCTGGGTAACCCCCAAACCCGACCAGCTCTGGCTCCAGGGGTCACCTAAAAAAGGGCGAGCCTGTCCAGGGAAGGTGTCCCTGGCAGGCTGTCCCCAGATTTTTTCCCTGTTCCCCTCTGGTGACTGCGGGCAGGTTATTTGCGTGATCCTTGTGTCAGATCCCAGCAGGATGGGGGACGAGGGGTTGGGATTTCTTGGGACCCCCCCAGCTTGAGCTTGGTCGGGGTGTGATGTGGCTGTGGGAGCCAGCAGTGCCCTGACAGCCCCGGGATACCCAAGACGGGGTTGCCCCTTCCCTGGGGAGCTGGCAGGATTTAAGAGTCCCTATTTTAAAGAAGGAATTTTTTTTTTTCCCCTTAGAAACAAAAGCCATGTAGAATTCCAAAACCCAAACTCAGCCCCCCACTTTGGCACAGCCAGGAAGGGCATTTCCACCGGGAAACCCCTCTGATGCCACCCTCTGATGGGTTGGTGTCCCCCAGAAACCCTGGGAAAGGGGGATAGCCCCAGCTTATCTGGGTTTTAATGAGTGTCTGGGTGTTGCCGCCCCATGCCAGGTCTTGCTCTCACCCTGGGGCTCTGCACCCTGGGGATGGGTGGGGGGTCCCAGGGGATGCCCCCACACCTGACCCACAGCCACGGAGACCCACAGAGAGGCTCCCAGTGGGATGCGGGAGAGTGTCCCACTGCATCAGCCCTTCTGCATGTGGTCTGGCAAGGGGTGAGCTGAGGACTGGGGCTCTCTAGACACGAGTGGGGGTGGCAGCAGGGGTGGGCTTGGGTCGCAGCAGAGGCTGTGCAAAGGGGTCACACTTGTCGGGGGGGTGTGGTGTGTGTGCATGTGCATGCTATTCCCGACACACGTGTGCACACGTGTGGGTTGTGCAGACGTTGGGCAGCCCGGAGCGGGGAAGGGCTGTGTGTGCCAGGCACACGCCACTGGCTGCTGCCATCGTCCCAGTGTGTGTCCATCACACCACACCAGTGCGTGCCCGTCTCACCAGTGCATGCCCACCACACCAGTGTGCGCCCCTCACATCAGACCAGCGTGGGCTCATCACATCATACTGGTGTGTGCCCATTCCAACAGCATGTACCCATCACATCACACCACATGTGAGTGCCCATCACACCATCCCAGCATGTCCCTCACATCACACCAGTGCATGCCCATCACACCATGCCAGTGTGTCCCTCGCACCACATCAGTGTGTTCTCATCACGCCGGTGTGTGCCCATCTCACCAGTGTGAACCCACCACACCATCCCAGTGTGCCCCTCACACCACACCAGTGTGTTCTTATCACACTAGTGTGTGCCCATCACACTAGTGTGAGCTCATTGCACCAGTCTGTACCTATCCCAACAGCACGTACCCATCACTTCACACCACATCTGTGTGCCCATCACACCAGTGTGTCCCTCACACCACACCAGTGTGTGCCCATGACACCAGTGTGTGCTCATCACACCATTCCAGTGTGTGCCCACCCCATGCCCCCAGCGTGTGCCCACCCCAGCACCCCCAGCGTGCACGTGAAGCCACGTGTGGGCAGCTGTCCCACGGGGGACAGGCAGGGCTGGATGATGTCCCCAGCCGCTGGGACACCCCACGCTGATCCTGGCTTTTTCCTCCCCCAGGCCCTAGGAACTCTCTTGCTGCAGGCGCCCAAGGATCGCCACGCCATGACTCTGGCTGGTACGGCATGGGATCACGCGTGGGGATGGGGGACAGCGCGGCTTGCCCGGCCCCACATACCCAACCCTGGCACCTACCTCATGCTGGGCACCCCTAGTTTGAGCGGGGCCCCATCCAAACCCCCCCCGGGCTAACCTGGGATATTCACAGCATCCCAGTGGTGACAGGCAAGGGGTCACGCATGTGGTTAACACACCAGGACATACATAACCCCTGTGGCCATCAGCAAGGCACCCCACCTCTGCGTGCCTCAGTTTCCCTTTTGCATGCCTTGCTTCCCCCGCCCAGATCACCCTGCTTGCAATATCTGGGCAAACTTCAGTGCCAGCCACCATCCCCATCCCAGCCCTTCCCTGGCACATGATCCTGCTGCAGATGCCTGGCAGGACCTCCCCCCCTGCCCCGACTCCTCTGACCCCAATCCCACCATCTCTTCCCAGCTTACAAAGAGAAGATGAAGGAGCTGCCTCTCGTCTCCCTCTTTTGCTCCTGTTTCCTCTCGGACCCCCTGAACAAGCCGGCGTACACGTATGAAGGTAGGAGCCTGCTGCCCACCCACAGTCGAAGGCTGCGTGAATGGTGGGGGCTGTGGGGGGCTGCAGACCCCCCTTGGCATGACCGGGGTCACCCTCAAACCGAGGGAGGTGGTTCCACAGTTTGCTGGCACCCGTTGGAAGCAGGGGGCCGGGTCAGGGTCGGGGTGGGGGGGAGCTCAGGCAGCCCCACAGCCCCCCTCCGCCGCGGCTCCGCTGCACGAAGCGCCGGGCGTGGGCTCGGTATTTTTAGGCAGACGGCGTCGGGTGATTCAGACTGATTCATGTCAGTGGATCCAGAGGTGACAGCGGCAATGGAGGGGGATGTCCAGCCTTGGCGGGGGGGGCTCCTGCTGGCTAGCTGCGGGGGGATCTGCAGCTAGAAAGGGGCTTCATGGTCCCATTCCCTGTCCCCGAAGCAGGGCTGAACCCTGCCCTGCTTGCTCGCTTCTCTCTCGGGGGGATGCCCAGCCCCTCAGCTCACCCAAATATTCCCAGCTCAGCCCCCTTGATGGGCATCTTGGAGACCCTACCCCAACCCACGACATTGGGGCTGAACCACAGGGGTGCGTTTGGGGTGCGGGGATTTGGGTGAAACCCGTGGAGATCGGGGAAACTGGTGGCCCATTGCGGGAGCTGCAGGCGCGGGACCCCGGGATGGTTTGCCCGAAGGGGTGGGATGCGCCCGTGCCGGCGGTCAGCCCGTGCCCCTCTCCCAGCAGACACGGTAGACCTCACCTGGTGCGTCATCTCCGACATGGAAGTCATCGAGCTCAACAAGCGCACCTCGGGGCAGTCCTTCGAGGTCATCTTGAAGCCCCCATCGTTCGACGGCATCCCCGAGTTCAACGCCTCCCTGCCCCGGCGGCGCGACCCGTCCCTGGAGGAGATCCAGAAGAAGCTGGAGGCGGCGGAGGAGAGGAGGAAGGTAGGTCTGGTGGCTCCTGTGTGGCAGGGCAGCACGGGGACGTGCCATGGGGACACGCAACCTTGCACTCGGGGTGCTCGCCCAGCAAGGTACGCCCGCTTTTGGGGATGTCGCTGAGTTTGGAGAGGGCGGTTTTGGCCAGGAGGGGAAGGGACCCGTGATCCGCGTGGCCATCGCCATCCGCTTTGCCTGTGCAGTACCAAGAGGCTGAGCTGCTGAAGCATCTGGCGGAGAAGCGGGAGCACGAGCGGGAGGTCATCCAGAAGGCCATCGAGGAGAACAACAACTTCATCAAAATGGCCAAAGAGAAGCTGGCGCAGAAGATGGAGTCCAACAAGGAGAACCGCGAAGCCCATTTAGCAGCCATGCTGGAGCGCTTGCAGGAGAAGGTGAGGAGGGAGGGGGGAACGTGCTGGGACACCGGTCCAGGAGGGTGTCACAGGGCACTTGTCACCCTGCATGGCTCTTGGGGTGGCATTACCCCCCGGGGACACCACCAGAGTGGGGACCCCCTCTTCCCTTCCCACCACACAGCAATACCCAAAGACAGCATCCCATCCGGGGTGGGGGGGTCCTGTCCGGGGACCCACCGAGCCTGATGTGTCCGTAGGCTCACGAGCGGTCAGTGGGTGGAGAGCTGGGACCTGTATCTTGTCCACAGGCGTGCAAAGCCTTTGCCTCCCCCGTGTCCCACCGTGATGGCCTTGACCCGCCGCTTGCAATTTTTCCACCTCCCGGGTGGCAGATCTTCCCCCGGTCCTTTCCCCAGAGGCCGTGGAGCCAACAGCTCCCCGGCAGAGCTGGAGGGGTCCGTGCTGCCATGCTAGGAGATGCTTCCACCCTGCCAGCCTGTGCAGACCTCTTCTCTCTCCCCGAAGCAGGTCTGTTCCCAACCTCAGCATGGAAGGTCCCACCCTCACCACCTCCAGCTCCCTCCAAAACATCCCTTCTGCAAGGAGCTCGCCCAGTGCCCTTCTCCAAACGCCTCAGCTAGCCTTGGGTCAGAGGCAGAGAGCACGAGATAATGAAGGACAATCCGAGCTAACCCCATCTCCTTGGGGCTCCCGGTCCATCCCGTCTGGTTGACGTCTACCTCCTAGCTAGAGGGCGAGGACAATCTGTCCCTGAGTGCCTCCACAGTCCTTAAAACACCCCAGGGGAGGAGAGGACGCTGTTGACCCACCGGTGGTGTCCCTCGGGGGATGAACCTCGCGAACGCCCTCGTGCCTTCGAACCCCTCCGAAGCCGCTGGCCTGCCCGTGGGGACCCCGAAGTCCGTCAAGCTAACGCGTGTCCCCCCCTCCTTCCCTCCTACCCCCCCTCCCACAGGACAAACACGCGGAAGAAGTGAGGAAAAACAAGGAGCTCAAGGAAGAAGCCTCCAGGTAAAGAGGCGATGGTTGGACTGACAGCTCCGGAGAGGTGGTGGAGGCTGCCGCAGCGCAAGGTCGGATGGTGGAAGGGTGGACGTTTCCTCTGCTTTCTTTGTTCGTGAATGTAAAGAGTTGACCGGTGAAGCCATCCTATTCGTTTCGGGGAGGGTGGGGAGGGAGGAGAAAGGAGGGAGGGTGGGCGGGAGGGTGCCGGCTTCGGGATGCCCACCTCCTTGGTGGGTCTCGCGCGCCGCCCGTCAACCAGGTCCGGAGGAGACAGCCGAGGGCTGGTGAAGCGGAGGAGGTGGCCCCCCCGGGGAAAAGCCGTAGGGGGGGAGAGAGCGGGTGGGGAGGGAAGGGACGGGAGGGGGGGAAATGTGCGTTGTGTGTGACTTTAATTTGGTGCTGGGCAGGCAGGGCGGGCAAGCGGGCGTCCCTCTGGCTTCTTTCTTCTCCTCCATCCCACCCCGTCAATAGGCAGCGGCATCTCTTGGTGTCCCTCCCTCCCTTTTTCCCGCCTGGACTCAGGGCCTCTTGCCCGGAGCGGGCGTTATTTGCCCGTAGACCTTATAGAACCATTCTGGGGAAGGGGGAGAAGAGATCCCCCCATTGGAGGTGGTCAGAGAGTGAGGCTCGCTTGTTCCAAAGGCTTTATCTGGCTGTAGGAGACACTGATGAGCCTTTCCAAGGGTGAAATGGGAAAGCCCCGTGACTTCCCAAAGAGCTGCTTTTTTTGCAAGAACCTCCTGAGAATCACCTTTGTGGGAATTCTTGGATGAAATCCCTTTTTCTGCTGTAAAGCAGCTGGAAAGCCATTGGCTTTTAGAGGTGGCAGCTCAGATGGCTATTTGGAAAGGGAGATCACCCCCACGGAGAGCGAGAGCAGGAGACGAAAACAGGGCAGGGCTGTGGAAACCGTGATGGAAGGGACTGGGAAAAACAAGAAGGAAAGAGGAGCTGGGGGAGCTGAGGCTGGAGAGCCAGAAGTGGGATGGAGGTGCCTCTCTGGAGAGCAGGAGAAGACAACAGCCACAGACAGCCCCTGGGGACGGCAGTGGCACCTCCTGGGGACACCAGGGCAGGAGGAAGGCCAGTTTGGGATCCCACCAACAGCTCACAACCAGCCCAGGAGGTGTTTTTGGGGAGCTGCTGAGCAATCTCCTGGGTGATTTTTGCCTCTGGGGAGGGTGAGCGAAGCAGAGAGCTTGCAGTGAGATCCTTCCCTGCCAGAGAAGAAGAGTCTGCTTTCTGCGGTGGGGTGGGGGGGTGGGTATGTCCCCTCCTCTCCCAGTTGCCAGCAGGCAGTGGTCCCTGTGCTGCGATGCCCCGGCACCTCATCAGCCTCCAACCCTGATGCTAACAGAGGGTTTGGTCTCCTTTATGGTCAGATAAGGCTTTCCAAGCTCTGATTCAGGTCCGGAGGGAACCATGTCTCTTCACCTGTGCCGCGAGATGCTCGCCCGGAGCCCTGGGGGGGGAAACAGCCCGGGGAGGGGAGCATGGGAGAGGGCGGCGGGCGAAGGAGACGGAGGGGGCTGTTCTAGCTGTGGCACGAGCTGTCCTTTTTTTGTATACAACAGTTGTAAATAAACTGCCTTGGCATTTCTTTCGTTTTCTCATGATCTGTGCAGTGTCTTGTGTGTGGTTTTTTTAGGATTTTTTTTTTTTTTCATGAACATCACTCCAGTAGCCCTTTCCTGCATTTTTTTCAGTCTCAGCTCAGATGCTTTTCCTAGCCATGGGACTGGAGACCTGTAGAGCATGGGCTGGTGGCCCTCATAAACCTTCTCCATCCCCAGTAGAGACACTAGGTCCCAATTATCATGGGGAGGGAAATACTTGCATCGACCCAACAGGTCAGATGGAAACTATCCTCAGACCTTCCTTGGGTAGCCGTAAACCAAAGCAATGCCAGGTCATGTAGCAGTTCCCCCAGCAAGATACACACACAAAGTTCAGCAGCAGCCAGTAGCCAGAGCCGGCCGCTGCTCCACAGCAGGAATATTGCATGTCCACGTGCGCGGGGGTCTGCAGGGCTGTCTGGTTGGTACGGCAATGCCTGGGACCCAGTGGGGTGTCTGCCTCGTGGCTGCACTCGATGAGGCTCTGTCAATACAATTTCTGACCCCACATCACTTTAGACAGCACTATAATGGGGTCAGCCAAATTAATGAGGCAGGGGTTAGTTTGAGTGTGAAGGGGAAGAGTGGAAGAAGGAGCCAGGCTCGCAGGCGGGAGCCCTGTCCTGGGACAAGTCAGACACGCTTTCCTCCCCCAGCTCAGGACTGAGTATATGGGGTCATTTGATGGGGTGTGTTTAGTTTCTTGCTTAGCCACACTGCCGTGTCTTGCCCAAAGCCTGGCACCCAGCAGACGCCTGGACCAGGACCATCACTTTCCTCCAGGGGAAGCCAGCAGGTTTGTCAGCCCCCTACAAGGGGAGAGGCAGGGAAGGTATCTCCATCCACTAATCTATGGGGCATGAGCACCCAGGGGTCCAGGCTTAGCCTTCCTTTTCTGCAGCAGAGCTGCTTTTGCAGGCGCTGGCCCCTCTTCTCCTCTCTGGGAAGAACTGAGGCATCCTCTGGCTGGATTTGGGGCTGGCGGTGATGAGGCTCAGGCTGCTCTCAGCCTTGCTGGGGTACCAAAGACCTTCATCTTACCATGCAGAACCATTTGAGATGCTGCCAGGATTTCCCACCTGGTTCCCACAGGCCCTGTGTCCTGTGGGTCCCACGCCACCTCTGCCCACCCCATGTGCCAGCCCCTGAGAGCCCACGAGTCTCGAATGGCAGAAGACACCCACACCTGGGTGAGGGTTGGAGCTCAGAGCCTTGCACCTGGGCATCCTGCACCAAACATCGGAGAGGAGGGGATGGAGGTCAGGTCTTTGCCTACATGGTGGAGCCCTCTCCTGAAGCACTATCCCGCAGGCACAGCCAGGACATACAAGGGGAAAGCACAAAGCAAAGTTTTGGTGCCTTCAAGAAACCTCCCAAGGACAAGTTTCATGGCACTTGCCAGGCTCTCAGGGCTGAGACATGGACAAACCTTCTGCGCATGATCCCACCTCTCCTGTTTGAAAAGCCAGATGGAATCCCATCCCTAAATCCCAGCGCAAGCAAGACCTGTGCTATGAGTTGCACCCCCTGAACATCAGAGGATGCCTGGGCGTCCTTCAGAGCAGACGTGACAGGAGCCGCTCAGTTGCCGACCTGCACGTGAGGAAACAAGTGCCCATCGCTGCAAAGAGACACATAACAGATCGAAGCACCTACAGAATCAGCATCCTGGAAGTGCCTCCAGGACGCCAAGCAAAAAGGTGAATCTTCCTGTCACCAACCTGCTGCAGGGCTCTGGGAGCTTTTCCTGGCTCGTGCGTCATTGCTGCTGCGCAGGGACAGTTCTGCCATTTGATGTCCTCCCTCCCATCCATATCCTCGTACTGGTTTCTCAGAAATCATAAATTTGGGCAAGGTACCAGCCATTCATTCATGGGAAGCTGGCACTGGTGAGCAAGGGGTGTGGCTGGAGCATTGGGTGTCATAACTAGCTGGGGCCTCTGCCGGGAACCGGGGAGTGATTAAAACTGTTCAAGGGCAAGGATCATAGAATCATAGAATCGTTTAGGTTGGAAAAGACCCTTAAGATCATGAAGTCCAACCATTAACCTAACACCGCCAAGCCCACCACTAAACCATGTCCCTAAGCACCACATTTACATGTCTTTTAAACACCCCCAGGGATGGTGACTCCACCACTTCCTTGGGCAGCCTGTTCCAGAGCTTGACAACCCTTTCAGTGAAGAATTTTTTCCTAATATCCAATCTAAAAGGGTGCTGTGTGAACTCCAAACCGGTATGAAAGTCATGTTATTCTGTCTGCTCCTCCAGCGTGCAGACTGTCTGTGTGAGAACCTGTTTGGGCAGGGTGGAGGAGTCATGCCTGAAGCAGAATGATTCATCTTAGAGAGTGTACTCCAGTATGAACCCCGTAACTGTAGGGGAGCTTTGGGGTGCAGAGTCTAGCAAAGCCACCTGTATGCAGGCAACTGTACCAAAGGCCATGATTACCTCAATCATGACATCGGGAACAACAAATTTGTGGAGGGATGTAGCAGAATTGGGACCAATGGGGGGGAAAAAAAATAATTAGGGGCAGATTGGGCTAAGAAAAAGAGGTGGTAAGGTAGAAATAGGAAAAAAAAAGAGGAGTAAGTTATGAAACCAGGTAAGGAACACAGGAGGGTGGGATCTTTTGGTGGTCGGAAGATGGATGCCTACAGATGGTGGTAACGCTGACCTGGGTACCCAACTGCATGGGATGACCCTGGACAACTCGCTGGACTCTCCATCAAGGCTATGTCCAAAAGACTTAGTGGAAGAGGGTAAAAAGGGAGACACTTGCACACTGGTATGAAAAGTTGTGGGGAAGGAAGGGTGGTAAAACTGTAGTTCAGCAGTAGCAGTGTGTGATTCATATGGTTTAAGAGTGATACCTTTATTGTTGTGTTTAATAAAGTGCAAAATCAGATTGTAGATTAATAATGATAATGTGATCATTAGTTAATTAGGTTGTTGCTTATTCAAGTGATTTATTAGCCTCTTAGCAGGCTATTGCTTACCCAGGGAACCTCATGGCCTTTTGAATGCCTGCTGTCCAAAGAGGGAGGCTTGGACCCTGACAGAACAGTGTTACATCTGAGACACGCGTGCCATGGGGCAAGAAAGCTCTCCTCCCACCGCTGGTAGTGTCCAGATGTTCACAGCAAGTGATGGTACAACTGCAGCATAGACCAGCCCATTGCAACACCCAAACACCATCGGATATGTCTTGGGAACACCCCTCAAAGAAGACTGCCAAGGCCAAGCTAGCAGAGGGAAAGACAAATTATGTTGTTTTATTATCTTGGGGATATTAGTTTGTAGGATGCTTGGAAGGTAACTTCTCCACTTGGTTCACTGATGAAAAATGAGGTTCCAGGCAAAATAATAGTCCAGATTAGTGTAAAAGCTACAGAAACCATCAGGGAGCCAGAAAAGCATCAAGTGGGAGGCAAGTAGTTGGGAGGAAAGGTGCTTTGTCTCTAATACAACTGCCTTTCCTCTTCGCTGAAGCCTCTTTGAACTCATCTGTGCACAGGAAAAAGGTAATCTAATTAAATATTCGTCACCAAACACAACCAGGGCTGAGGCCAAGTCCCAGCCTCCATCTCTTGATCCTGTGAGGAGGCAAAGTCACGAAAAAAGGAGGATCTCTCGCTGCAACTACAAGTGGAAAATTAAAAGACAGCAATGATGATTTTTCTTTATCCAGTGTAAGGCAGTAAAAAAAGACTTAAAATCATGTGTGATCATTCCTGCAGACCACTTCTAGGGTGGATAGAAAACTCATCCCAAGTTCTTTGCCAGAGAAAGGACGGAAAGGTGAAAATGGAATGGAAAATGGAAAACCTTCTGTATTTTTTATTTTTAAATCTTTTCTCTTGAAGTATTATTATCGCAGTTAGCTAATGTCCATGTGTGTAACACAATCCCTGCCAGAGAAGGCGAGGGCCACTGCAGACCTTCCTCCTCGTTTGCCCATGACACCATCCCTGGGCGATGCACGCTGCCTCTCCCAGCTTTCCTCAGGGCCATCTCAGCACCTTGGAGCCACCCTACCACATCCCTGGGGTGGTGGACCTACGGACGCAGTGAGGTGAACAGAGAAATTCTGCCAACACTGGAGAGATGCTCATCTTACGGCACAAGAACCGGTCCATCACATCCCATGCAGAAAACTCGTACAGTGTTGCTGGTTCTTTGCTTCCCTCTAAAATACTGTTGGGTTGGTAGACAGAGCACTCAATATCTCCGCTCGACGTAAGGTCCAGCCTCAGTGTGTGGCTGACTCCCATCACCTGGTCAACTGGATTTAGTCTCAAGCCTTGGGTATGCCCAAGCTTGCCAAAAACAGCTGCTACCCACTGAAACGGCAAGCCACATGCTTGTCTTTGCAAAGCCCTTCTCAGCAACCACTTCCATGTTTTTAGGAGAGCTTTCACCAACCAAACACTTGTTGAAGGTCTTGACACCTCTGCTGTTGGTTCAATTCTCTCAAAAGCAAACAGGCATGGTAGCTGAGCCCCCCCAGGATCTCCAGCGTCAATTTTTGCTCACATCAAATTACTTCCAGCCCTCTGTTCCCAACGTTCAATATGACGTGAAATGAAGGACGTCCCAGGCTCGTTCATGGGGAAAGGTGGGGCCGGAAAGTGCGTGGTCGAATCATCATGACCACCTTCCTCAGGGAATAGTAGTCTGTGTCCTTCCACGAGTACCACACAATACCATCTGGCCCCAGGATCTTGCGGTTTTTAATGGAGTATCGGCCGCCCTGTGATGCAGAGAAAGAAGGCTGGTCAGGCATGGGAAACACATGGAAGCATCATCTGGATGGGAGCATCGGAAAACCAATTGCTCTGAAACACTGGAGCAAAGAGCTTAATGACCATGCAGTGAAAAACGCACGTAAAGCCCAACATTTTTCAAATGGTCCCAGTGGAGCTGGCACCCATCTGTCTCAGGCTGTGAGTCACCCGTACCACAAGTTTCCACCACACAGTCCCAAATGCAGCGTGCGAGGTGTCTCAACACCCATGTCTGGCCAATGGCACTGAAAAGGCTGGACTTCCTTGGTGCCCAGCACTCATTTTGTTCTCTCCCTGGAGAGCAGAGACTGGTCAAGCCAGGAAGGACTGCTATGATGTGAGGACTGACAGCCTCCTCTCAACCCTGGACCTCGTGTGCTAACATCTGCAGCCTCATCCCTCCACCTTTCCTTGCAGTACACCCTGTTGAGGTTGGAGAAATAGGACTGGTTGGAGAAAAAGCACCTTGTGTCCTCGTCCCTCCACCTTACCTTGTAGTACACCCCGTTGAGGTTGGAGAAAAAGCACTGGTGGTACCACCAACCTCCATGGGAAATCTCAGCACAGATGTTCCCCGAGTCGGGTGTGCTGAAGCTCCTCTTGTTGTGGTACCAGGCAAAGGAATCCTCCACTGTCCCGCTGAACCCATCAACGTGCAGGCGGTAATAGTTTGACTCGTCCTCAATGCTGCAAGTAACAGAAGTGGGACTATTTAATGGGGAGTGTTTGAGTCTACTTTCCAACCTGGATACTGCATTCCTGGTGTGGACACCTAGCAATCATTGAGCTGCTTTGGCCAGCCTCCCTGCTATGATTCACCACCTCTAGAAGCCAAAGACGTTGTATTTTCCCTTTTGTGGGATGTGCATGATTTTGTCATGACTCAGGGCGCTTGTTAGAGGTCTGAACTGGGCAGACCGTGACTCTAAAACCACAATAAAGGACTGCAGCAGCTTTGGCAAGACAGTTGCCTCTAATTACACAGCACTGCCTCCTCTCCACATAACAAGCATCCTGCTCTTCACCTAGACTGAGCTAATTAGTAATTTCCCCCTGGGCTAGCAAAGGCTGAAGGTCACTGCTGTTGCACATGACAACTGATGAGAAGAGTCAGGGTGACCATTCAGAGCACGCATTTGCTGGTGGAAGATGCTTCACAGCACATTCAGGCAATGGGATTTTTTTTTCACAGCAATTTTGGGGTCTACTCTAAGCCCTCAAGCTTCAAGTGTCCATAAGGTGCAGTGCTCCCTTGGACATCCTCCCACAGTGGATTACTCCACAGTCACCCACAAGTATTTCCCGTAGAGACAAGGAAGTAGTTCATCTGGGACAGTCTAGACAGAGCTGGTCACCCCTGCTTAAGAAGGGATGTGGCTGATGTGGTATGGATAAACAAAACACCAGAGGAGTGGGAGAGCTAGAGACACTGAAGGACATTACAACAGGTCCAGCAAGTAAATGAGTAAAGAGGGTAAATATCAAAACACAACTCTACACCAGAGAGATGCTGGAGGGCCTGCCCAGCAAGACCATGGGATTCAAGCCCCTGTTTTTGACATAGAGCTCAATAATTTTGGCAGAAAAAATACCCCTCAACAGCTGGGGACTGTCCATTAGGTCCTACAGCTCCCTTCTGCTGGGGCTGTGGATGTTGGCCATGGCCAAAAGACACTGCACATTTGCTAGCTCACATCCAGGCTTCAACCTGGAGCAAAATTTGGTGGTAAAATCCAGGTGAGGAAGAAAGGATAGACAACCTGGGCCCAGTCTGAAAAGCTCTCTAGACAGAGTCATTCTGACCACAATGGGGTTCCCATGTCTGAAGGTCTCCCGACGTTGAACCAGTTGCATCTATGAGAACCAGGGAAGGCCATCCCACTTTCTACCTGAAGACCTGGTAGAAGGCATGCTTGTGCTTGTTGTTCCAGTCCTCCAGGTCGATGCGCAGAGAGTAGTCCCCTTGGCTCGTCATCTTGTGGATGTTCTCATTGCCCAGCCAGAACTCGCCACTGAGGTCCCCAAAACCCTCCTTGTACTCGTTCCAGGTCCGGTTGAAGTCAACTGAGCCATCCTGACGCCTCTGGATGACTGTCCAGCCCCCACCTGCCAGGAGAGAGAGAGATCATAAAATGGGAGTCTCCAGGGAGCATCCAAAGGTCCCAGACAGACCCCTTACTGGTGTCACCTCTGAGGATCCATCTGCAGCTCAGCAAGGTGTCTCCTTGTCCTATGTCCTCCCACCAACTGGCAAAACACAGGGGATAAAACGTGATGCCCATCATAGCTCACAGAAAGACGCTCCTACGTCTCCCATGTCAGTTCATGATGGTGTTCCCCTGTTGGCTGTCAAAGGGTCATTCCAGATCTTAAGGTGATTTTAAATGAGAGAGAGATGGTAGTTTTCAGGAGGCAAATGTTTTGGGACTGGAACAAACTAGACATCCTGGAGTTTGGAGATTATTACGTACTGTTCCTGCAGCACCACAGAGGCACACAAGCTCTCCCAGTATTGTCTCACTGTCTCCATCTGCTCTCCCATCTGTCCAAATCCCTCTCTCCTCTGTCATTTTATTCCAATTTTTGTAGCCTGGGGCGGGGGGGGGGGGGGACCGGACTGGGCCATCTTGTTATTCGCTGTTTGTACAGCCTGTCACTCTACAGTGTCCAAGATTGTGTTGATGGTCATGCAAATAATAGTAATGACATAACAGAGACCACATTGTCTGAACAACCTGTTTCTTAATGAGCACGTGCATCCCAAAGCTGCAATCACCTGTAGATCCTCCGACAGGCGAGATGCCTGCGTGTGGGGAGCTGCACCCCTTCCTCCAGCATGGGACGCGTTGATGTGACACATCCTTCTGGGCTGGAGTAGATCCATGGGGCAATTCACTGCCCCATTTCCCTGACGATTGCTGTTCTTCCAAAACTCAAGTGTTGCAAACTAATTTTGTTAGTGAGTTTGTGCCTTGGGATGACAGTAGCGTGCTCTGTACGGATATTTAGACAGCAAGGCTGTGGGAGGTCACCTGCTTTCTCACTTATACTCCAAAATATCTGTGGGAGAGGATCTATCTCTCCCCTCCTCAGTTCAGCACAGCTACAACCAGTGGTTGACCACACATAGCCCTCAACTACCCAGAGATGCTCCAGATACCCAGAGTGTTGCAAATATCTTGGATGCATGAGGACATCTCAAAGAGCACTAAACGCCTGTATTTAGACAACCGAATTCCAGCCATACTGTCTGAAGTATTCATCCAAACCCCTCCTTTCGTCAGCAGAGAGGCCAAGTCCTCTGTCCCTGGGGAAGAGCCCTTCTGGAGACGCTACTCTTGCTGACTATGAAGTAGCTTAGAAATAGCCCAGATATAAGACGCAAATCTCAGGTTAGACAAATCCCACCCAAAGCTCTGCTGGAAGATGTTGTAGGTGCCTCCTGCAGTACCTTCGGTGTCCATCTCACACAGCACTTCGATAGGCATCCCTCCGACCGAGGGCATGATGCTGTAGACCCCAGACCGTCGGAGCCCATTGTAGTAAACAGAAGCGCAGTCGATGGGGCAGTTCCTGGCGTGCTTCACCTCTAAGCAAGAAAGCAGAGAAACATGGTGTTTAGTGCACAGCGTGGAGAAAGGAGCACACAACCAAAGCCAGAATCTTTTTCATGCAATTGTAATGCAGAGCCCGACAAATAATCCTGGATTCAGAGCTGCTTCTGAAGCTGAAAACCTCTGCAGCACACCAGCTTCATGCCTGAGTGCAGTGGCTTATTAGTGATAAGGTTCGTTAGCACAGATCTGCACTTAAGAATGCTGTGGCTGAGGAATGATCTTCAGTTCAACTGGTTTTGTAATGGCAACACAGAAATGACATGCATTTTGCCAGGCTCAAATTAGATTGTATCTCCCACCAAAACATCTTATATATTGACAAAGAATTGGCCGGTTCTCCAGCAATGGTCGGTGTAGATAATAGCAGAAGGTTTTTCTTCTCCCAAACTTCTGCTGTAGGTTTTGTCTTACAAGGAAAGGGGATCAAAATTGTTCTGGAGTACCTAAGGACGTTTTTAACTGGGATATGTCAGGTGGGATTTATTTCACGTGGCACCAGCCATCTACACTTCAGGCGGGCAGTCTCAGCTAGTCCTTAGAGACAGGCTTCTGCAGAGGGCAATTTATCCTGGTTTTATGTGGAGAGGAGAGAAGACCTGCTCTCCCAGCTCCCTCCATCACCCACCGAAGGAGCTCAGCTGAGTTCTCTGCACAGAGCTGCATGCGGACATCCGAGATGCCCTGGGGCTGGCTTCCAGCAGTCCCGTGTAGGTCCTGTCTTGTATCTGCTGGGCTTATGTGGATGTTTTGGATGCTCCAGAGTATTTCAGGTGGCACTAGGTGTCAGGTGAACTGAGACCCTAGTCATAGCAGTGGAAAGAGCATGCTGAATTGCTCTCGGTCCATGCACTCATTGCCCTGTTATCTTAAATATCCAGCTCATGTAGGGACATGTATATGTAGATACCCAACATGAAGCATCTTCACTTGTGACCTGAGCCTCGCTGGTGGGATGAATCCCATCTTTAGAAAGAAAGGTAGGTCGCACAGGCAGCTCCCCTTCCTTTTACACACACAGCTAGACCAGCCTGAAGCACAGTGTTGCCTGAATACCGGACTGGGATCACTGGGAGAACCAGGACCCTGAGGGAGGGCAGAAAGCACGCATTGGAGATGATTGCCCTTCCATGAGGCACACAGAAAGGATGAGACCACGGAACTGGCAGATGACAAAAGCTCCTTGTGGATGGGAAAGTAAGTCCAGGGTGGGGAATGATGGACGAATAGTTGCAACACCCCAGACCACCAACTAGAGAGTGTGGTGGCTGTGGGGTCCCCTGCAGATTGGGGACATCCTTTGAGGTGGGCACCAACCGACAGTGTTGCTGCAGGGGAGTGTGGGGGGGAAACCAGTTGTGCGCAGCAAGCAGAGGTCAGGGAGAGGCAATCTAGACCCAGCAAGCACCTGGACAGCATGCAGAGCCCAATCCCATGTAAAGTTAGTCAGCTAGAAGTGCTGCATCAACTGGCATTCTCCAGGCCAGAGAAGTCACCATCCCGGTCACATCAAGTTATCGAGATGAATCCCTGCTCTGGCTTGCACAGAGCAAAACATTCCAGGGACTAACAAGGAAAACAGCCAAAAACCTAGCAAAAATCTAAATGCATTAATTAAAAAATGCATGTGAGAAATAACAGAAAATAGTTGTTTTTCAAAGTTGAAGAGTTTCACCAAAGCCCTAATTTCATGCTGCAAATTTTTTAAGAAAAAAAAAATTCTTGGGTTTTTGTGGGTTTTTTTGGATGGAAAAACAGCCTCTGGCTTTGGGAGGAAGGCTCATGCAGCTGACTGCAGGTGGGGTGATGTTGGAAGCAACACCAACCTGGCTGTCAGAGCCTTGAGCTGCTCCCTGCGAGCATCCCACACCATCCGTGGAGAGAAAAAGGAGGCACTGAGGGGCAGGACCCCTCTCCTAGACAGCACAGAAGCCATCCCCAGAGGTGTCCATTGCTCTGAGGAACCCTCCTGGCTGCCTTGGAAAGGCAGGTTGGGTGATATCGGACTCCTGGCCAATGCAAAGGGGATTTAAAGCAGTGTTCCCACAGCCTTTTCCTTCAGTCCCCCAAGAGAGAGAGGATGTAAGGGCGAAGCATCCCCTCCCAGCCAGCCCCAGCAGCTCCCCATCACCTGGATGGTGCATCTCCTCCTGCAGCCTCATCTCGGCGGGGCCGAGGCAGGTAGGATTGCGCCAGGCCCAGTCGGTCAGGACAGAAATGTTGTTTATCTGTGCCTGCATGTCGTAGAGCAGCGTGGCCTGGATGTGCTGCAGGGTGCTGGCCTCGCTGTATCGATGCTCCAGGTCCTGCACCCGTTGAGCCAGGCTGTGGTTCCGGCCGGCCGCCTCCTCGTGCTGTGGGCAGGGAGAAAGGTGGGATGCGGGGGATGCCTGGGGACCGGTGCGGAACCGGTGGCATGGCCCCAGGACCCCCTAGGGATGGGCAGGCAGGGGAGCAAAAGGGCAGAGGAGTGCTCACTGCTCGCACCAACAGCGACCAAGGACCACAAGGACGGTGCCCGCATCCTCGCCCTCACCCTGCATCCCCGTACTGGTCCCCAGCTCACTGTGGGAGCCACAGGCAGGTCGATATTCCCAAGCTGTGGTGCAGGCAGGGCATGCACAGGCAAGCCTAGGGCTGCAAGAGCAGGGCAAGCATCTAGAATTCCTCTCCAAACACCTTCAGTCGGCAACCTGTTGTAACGTGGATGTGGCCTCTATGTATTTAGCAATGCCACCGCAGCTGGGTTTTCCTTCCAAAAAGTTGTCCAGTCTCCCCTTGAACCATATAATATTTTCTAACATTATAAGTGTCTCCACAGCTTATCAACACGTTGCATGATGAGCTTGCATCGCCCGCTCTTTGGGCAATGGCTGGTGTCCTATAAAGAGCAATGACCACATCCATGCTATGCAAGGAGTGGGTGTGGTACAGGACCCCAGCCCCTTTCACAACCCTTTTGCTGCTTGTTTTTAGGACAACCAGTCTCTGATCCTATGTAAAAATATATGTGAAGCTGGCTGGAGATGCCCACAGCTCGTGCCAGGAGATGGGCACCCCGAGCCCCACCAGCACGCACTGAACATGCCGCAGACACAGTCACTGCAGACACGCTTGCCTCTCTTGTTCAGTGCTCCCAGCCCATTAGATGGCAGAGCAGGCCCTAAACAGCACCTCCAAAATCCCACAGCACCCTGGGAATCCACCCTCCCTCCCCTGAGCAATGCAACAGCTCTACACCGTGCTCCCCAATCCCTCCTGAGGGTCTGGCAATCCCAGACCCCCATCTGCAGCAGAGGGATGCTGGGTCTCCACCAGCGCTGCCCTTCCCTGTCCGTCTCTTCCTCCATCACCCACTCCGCATCATTGTCTTGGGCTCACAAGTCACCTCGAGACCCCGAAAATAAATGAGTTTATATTCCCCCCTCCCTGTCCCCAGAGACAGGGGCAAATCTGGATTTTCAAGTGTCCGTGCAAGCATGTGGCTTATTGAATATTCCTGGGGACACAGAGATCTGGCACTTGATTCATCAGTACCTGCAAAAGTGCAGTAGTGCTGCTGAGGGTTGGGGAATTCCTTCAGCTGGAAGGGGTTTGCATGCCCAGAATATGGGTTTTTCCCTTCCAGCTGCTCCCAGGACCCAGCTCACCCCTCAGTCCCCATTCCTGCCAGGACAGGTCTGAGCTTGCCGTTCCCAGGAGATGGCATCACCACTGCTGGGTTATTGTACCAGTAACTAATGGCAGCTCTGTAATATCCTTCCCAATGCTGCTTGAGCATTGCCTCCATGGCCCTGCTAAAAGCCCATCAAACCTGCCCGTATCCTAAAATCCAGAGCAGCTAGATAGGCAGGGGCAGCAAAGTGGGAATTATGGCATGCAACGACATGGTGCTTTCCTTCTCAGGACTGCAACGTCTCCGGTTCTACCATAAATCAGCCGTCCCCCCCCAGCCTGCTCTGTGAGCTGTGACTGATACAGGCTTCTTCCAGCTCCCTTCACCCACGCATCAGCTCTCCGAGTAAACCCCATGATGCTTTCTCCCAGACAGTCTCCTCCTCCACAGTTGATACCTTTTTTTTCCTGCTGCTGATTAAAAACAGCACAGCCAGACCACCGCGGTGGTGCCCTGATGCTGCTCCCTTCACCACATCCCTCTGCACCGGTGGGACCGGGGCTGTAATTTTGCACCGTGGGGTCCTGCTCTGTGCATGCCCCAGCCGTGCAAATGCAATAGGAGTGGAAATACACAGGGAGGGCTGAGTGAGCGGGTTGCTTTTGCTCCCTAAATTGCACTGGAAGGAGGGAAGCACGGCAGAGATGGGGTCAACCTGTCTGACCCAGTTTGGGTGTCCCCGTTAGCCCGAGAGGAGCTGTGACCTGGAAGAGCCTGTTGCTCTCACTCAGCTCAGGAAGGAATGCTGAGCTTGGAGAGACGTCTCCGCTTGGATGGACAAGCCCACGCTGAGCTCCCGGAGAAACGCGGATGGCAAACCCCAGGGACACCAACCAGCGGCAGCTGGAGGCTGATTAATGAAGATGGATTAAGGGAGCAACAGCTCCTCGGTGGGAGGAACGGAGGCGGAGGAGACCTACCCAGGCTGACACAGCGGGGAGTTGGGCAGGACGGCTCCTGGGAGATGCAAGGGGATGCAGGAGGAAAGCAGCTGCCCGGGCTGGGCACAGGCGTTGGGAATTGGGCAAACCAACGCAGTGGGAAAACTCCTTACGGGAGAGTCCTGAAGCCGGTGGGGAGCAGCTCAGCAGCTGTTGCTGCTTCTGGTTTCCTCCATGCAGCTGTAACTGCCCGCGCAGCATGCAGCTTTGCTTCTTGCTTTTTTCCCCCCTCCAGTGCTTGGAGGGTGACAGGACACACTCATTGCCGTCAGCTAAACTCTCCAGATTTTGTTTAATTCCTTCTTCTTCTGCACCTCCCATCCCTTTTTTTTTTTTCAGACTCATGAAAAAAACTGAGGTTGGAAGAAATGGCTGGAAGTCTCCAGCCCACCCTCCTGCAGAAAGCAGGGCCAATTTCCAAGCTGGATCTGTTTGCTCAGGGCCTCTTCCAGTCAGGGTCTGAAACTCTCTGCAGATGATCTCAGAAGATCTCAGAGGATGTCCCCTTTCTGAGTGCAGCGGTATCTTGGTGGCACAGATGTTGCTGGCACTGTCCCCCAGGTATGAACCACTCGGAGACACCTCGGTAGGACCTGGGACCTGGCTGCTCCAGGACCCCTGCGTGCACCCCGTGTCCCTCTGCTCTCCTTGTAGGGTGAGGAGCCCAGCAGCACCCCACAGCAGACACATCTCCTTTAGAACTCCTCGCCTGGGTTCCCACTGAGGAGAAACAAGCTCTCCCAACTCATCCCATCCTCCAGGAGACATCCAAGAGGTCCTAGCAGCATCTATGTCTGCACTCACTGCTCAGATCTCTACGAGATCGGCTGGATCCCATAGAGATCCTTGCAAGGCAGACGCTGGAGTTGGGTAGGAATCCCACCCTTCGCTGCTGCTCCAGAAACATCCCTGTCCACCAGCTTCTCCCCAGCTGCCAGACATGGGCTGGAGTGCCAGGGTGTGATGTGAAAGCATCTGCTACCTGTCTAAGGATGATTCAGTAAAAAAAAAAAAAGAAAGAAAGAAAATAGCAGGGAAAGGGATGATAAACTAAGCAAAAAGGCACAGAAAATTACCAGGCGGGTCATAAGGGAGACAATAAGGAAGAGCTGAGGCTTCAGCCACTGCAGATGGGCCAGGAAGGGACCTGCTGGGACATGGCCTTGAACAGGGTCCAGCTGAACCCTGCAGTAGATAAGAAGGGGGAAACACGATTATAAGGACTATTATGGGCTTGTGGGACTGTGTGAAACTAATTATAGGATGTTCAGGGGAAAGGCTAAAGGTGGGGAACGGAGGGTGGATGGGGTAGGAAAATTGAGAGATGGGGGAGTTAAAAAGGGCTGGGCATGAGTAAACCAGCTGCCAGGCAGTGCCCTGGTCCAACTGAGCCTGATCACTGCAGTCTGTTTTCTCTTCTTTTGCAGTCCTTTCCTTAGCTTATTTTTTTCAGTGCAATCTCACTCTCTCCTATGTGTGAGTGCTGCAGGGTCTAAGTGCCTGCAACTGGAGGGACGTGGGCCACAGGGCTCACAGGTCTAGGTCAGGGTGTACATGCATGTGCATGGGCACATCCATGTCTATGTGCATATATAAGTGTATTTTTATGTGCACGTGCATGTGCATGTGTATATGCATATGCATGTGTATATGCATATGCATGTGCACGTGTATGTGCACGTATGAGGGGTCTAAACACCAGCAGCTGGAAAGACCTGAGAGTGTTTGTATTGCCCCGGTGAATTTAATTGTGCTAGCAAACTTCAAGCTGGACCAGCTGGCGAGCAGGAGGAGACCAGCACACAGGCTGAAAAGGGGCAGGATCTGGGCATGGATGTTAGACGGAGTGAGAGCCCATGCTCCGCATCTAATTCCCTCGCCTGGACACCGAGCGTCCTGTTGGAGGCCACCAGCTCAGCTCCCCCTGCAGCCACCACCAGGCAACCAGCATCCCTGGAGGGAGATTCTCCTCCCTCTTCTCTCTGACTCTGAAGAGAACCTGCACAACTGCCATTGACCAAACACCTTGCCTTTAGATGGGTCATTTCAAAGTCTGGAAATGAAGAACGGATTAAGAGCATGAACACTGCAGGGGAAATATTTAGTGCGTTACCATCCATCTCCCTCCTTGGCTCTGAGCGGGAGAGGTCAGTGAAAGAGCTGCAGCTCCAGGTAACACAGAAGTGTGTTTTGGGGCCAGCATAGGGAGCTGGGACTGGGGAAAGACAGATTAAACAGCCCTAAGGGACAAAATGTCACCAGGGGATGAATGTGGGAAGTCAGGAGACCGAAGACTTATTGCACCAGTGTGTCCCAGTGCAAGTGCAAGGAGAAAATGGGAAAGGAGCAGTGGAAAGTGGGTGAGAAGGCAGGATGGGGCCAACAGGGGAGGAGGGGCCCCACGTGGGGGGCACCGAGTGGGTCTGCCTGAGCACAAGCACCCATCCTGACTCACGTGCTTCCCTCCCTTCCTCTGTTGCACCAGGAACATCTCGATCCTGCACAAATACCCACAGCACAGACACCCACCCAACAGCGTGGCCATCCCAGCACTCAAACAGCCCCGCAGCCTGCGGCACGGCCTCACTTTCCCCACGGGGCTGCCCAAACGAGCCTTTCCAAACAGGGATCCCAAGGGCAAGGGTGAAAGGAAGCCAGATAGAGAATAAATCACCCCCAGACCCTAACCATATCAGAGCTCATCTCCTGCAAGAGCACAGACAAGGGTGCTGTTCACCCAGCGGTCTGGGGCTCTTCCAGCTGACATCGGTACACTGCTGCCGGTTCTTCTGCACATCTCATCAACAGCCCGGTGAGGAATCTTAGCTGGGAAATGGCTCCTATGGCCAGCAAAATACACCTTGCTCCCACCCCGTTCCCAGCTACAACCCCATGCAAGCTGCTGCTCTCCGCTGCTGAGCGCCAAGCCAAGTGTTTGCCGGGCAAAACCACGGAGCAGTGCCAAACATCTGAGAGCTTCAGAGGTGCCAAACAAGGTTGGAAAAAAAATGTATTAGCGTGAAGCTTCAGGCTGCGGGGCTGGTGAACGGAGCCAGGGTGGGATGAGCACCAGAAAGGAGACTGCAGGAAGGGTGCCGTGGGCTGGAGGTCAGGGCTTCTCCTGCTCAGCTGTGGCCATCAGCTATGCGGTCCTTCACCAGCCACCCAAAACTCCAGGTCTAGTCTGGGATCCTGCTACGGGCAATGGGATGGATCAGCAACCCCTACGAGACAGGTTCGAAGGTGGAGGAGATAGCACAAATAAAACACTGAAGGTTTTGTGGCTAATGTCACAAAAGATCAGCCCTGGAAGGCTCCTGAGCCATCACAGTAGGAGCAGCTGGGGTTTAATGGATATCCCAGCCCCTGGTCAGAACAAGACCATATGCTTCACTGGGTGTCCTCCCCCTGCAAGCTGCTGGGAGCTGGAAGGGACCGTGGGGAGGGACCGTGGGCACCCGCACGGAGGGGGTCTGCGAAGGGCAGCCCTTTACCTGCAGCTCAAGGACTTTGATGCGGTGCCGGTGGTTCCTCAGCTCCTCCTGTAGCTCTGAAATGAGCTCCCGCAGCTCCAGGACCTGCTGCTTGCGCTCCTCGTTCTCGTGGAGCCAGTAGGACACCTCATCGGTGCAACGAAACATGTCCGGGCACCGCTGCTCATCCCCTTGCGGCAGCGTGGCCACGATCTTACAGCGGCCGTTGGGCAGCACCTGGTTGCTGTACTCGCCACACTGGATCAGGCCCGTGCCCTCCTGGGGTCCCTCGTGGTCTCTGTACGCCGCGGGCAGGGATTTCTGCAGGGAGAGGCTGCACAGCGTGGCCACGAGGATGAGAGATAGCAAACCTGCCCTGGCAGAGCCGGCGCCGGTGGGGCAGACCTCCATCAGGCGGGTGAGGATGATCCCCGGGGATGACCCCACGTGCCTCGTCATCAAAGACCGTTGGGGAGAAAGGTGGCAGTCCCCAGGGCATAACACCAGGTCTTCTCCGGAGAGCTAGCGGGTGAGGTTGCAGCTATATGGGAGCAGAGCATCAGTAGGGATCCTAGAGCTCCCACCGAGGGGGTCACTGCAGGCAAGGGACCTGCCTGTCCCCATAGAGCAGCTTCCCCGACGTCACCTGGTGGCCACCAAGCTGGGACCAGCTCTGGTGAGAGCTCCTCTGCTCTCCTGGCCAGGCTCCACCGGCTTCGTGGGCTGTGTTTCCCTTCCTGCAGAGCTGCTGGTTGGCTTGGAAGGTGTTGAGGTCTGGCCGGGGGTGGTCAGCCCCTGGGGCAGGGCTTTCTGCCCACGCAGGACCATGCATGGGAAGGAGCTGGCTCCCCCAGATGGGGCATCCCACTATGCTGTCATTCCCTGAAATGGGAACCAGAGCAAGGAGACAGGTGACGGAGAGAAAGGATGAGCAACCAACCCTCCCCACCATGCTGCCCACCTGCAGCAAACTGACAAGTCCCCTCACCTTCCCTGGCCCCCTCCAGTCATCCCCATGGGCCAGGGGCTCAGGGCACAGATTTGCAGCTCTCTCCATGTCCCTGTGTGTGACTTTTTCTTGGCAGATGTAACTATAAATGGAGTTATCAAATGAAAGGTGGCCACCTACATGGGGAGCCCAGACCACCAACCCACCCTTGGGCAAGGTTAGACCACCAACCCATCCCCGGGGCAGTCTGGATGGACCCTGGCCATGGGCTGATTGCCCCACATGGGCTCAGGTCCAAGGGAGCATGGAAGGATGGTGGCCTGGCCACCATCCAGGTGAGACAAATACATGACTTGGTCCCTTTTATCCAGAGAAATTGGGCTCCCCATGCAACCAGAGCTGCCCTCTGATCCCTGCCCGACACCAGGGCTCCCAGCCATGGCATCACGCTCTGGGTCTTCTCCCAAGGTTTCTCCCCACCAAAAGCCATCCCCATCCCGCTCTGGTGAGGACAGAGAACTGGGAGGGAGGCCACAGCTCCCCAGCAGCACCCCAGCTCCCAGCAAGCAGCACCCCAGCTCCTGAAATACCTTCAAAAGTCCTGGCCAGGCTCTCCAACGGCGAGAGCAGAGAGCAGTGAGCACTGACTGGCCATGGGGAGCGGGGTGTGATTTAGGGGACACTAAATGCTTATTCCCCTTGATCCTATCATTGCACTATAAATAGGGCCAAGACAGCCGCCAGTCTCAGACAACGCACAGGAGGGAGGAGCGCAGGTCCCTGTGTGACCTTATCAGTGTACAGGGGATTAAGCTGGTGCCTTGGCAGGAGGGCATCACTCCCCCTCGCCTAGAAACCCCCTTTCACAAACCAGGGATGTGTTTTGGGGAGAGGGCAGTTTCATCCAGCATGCAGTGACCTGCCCCATCCCAGAAGTTGCGGGGGGGAAGCTTCCCAACCTGGCCATGGACAGGGGCTTGGGGCAGGGAACAGCCATCATTTATTTTATTCACTAGCCCAGGGCTTTCTTTTTGATTTTGCAAGGGAGTAATGTCAACAGGCTTGCTTAATTACATATGCTAATCATTCAGCTGTAGGGATGCAAGCTGAAACCAGAGATTTCCATATTGAACAAAACTGTTGGCTATTGGGTTTTCTTCCCTTAATGTAAAGAGTTTCTAGATGATGTTCCCAGAGTAATTCCCACAAAGGAGATACTCAAACCGAGGGCCACGCTTGGCTTCAACAGCCACTTGTGGGAGAGAAAAATAAGGCTGAAGCATCCTCCCTGGAGCTGGCAGGAGCTGTGCCAGTGCAGCGGGTAGCCAGCCTGGACAGCAGTGCTGGGTAAAACAGTGGGGAGAGGGACCCTGAGATCAGCCCACAAAGGTCTGCCATAAGGGACAGCAAGAGAAGTGCTGTGTGAAGGGACACGATGGGCAGAGGATGGGAAAATGGGGCTGGGGGCAGGGGGGAGCCAGAAAAAGGGCATTGCAGGGAAGTGAGGAGTGGTGGTCCATCTGGACGTGATGGACGTGAAGACCTTTCGGTGCTGACACTTCTCTTTGGGCTGGATCCCACTGCTGCACCAGCAAACCCCACTCCACCACCACAAGAGTTGTTCCTCTGGTCAGATGTTAGACGTTTACCCTCCAGGTTTGTCCTGAGCGACCCCATGGCCAGTGGAGAGAAAACGGATGCAATGGTAGACACCGAAATGATGATAAGATGAATTGCACCCCACAGATGGCTCTTTATGGGGCAGTATGGGGGGGTATCACGGCAGGGCACCAAGGGGTACATCTTGCTCTCGAATCCCAGCCAAGAGCTCCTCCAGCACGATTAGCTAAAGACCAGCTTTCCTTTATTGCACATGAGTGGATAGACATTTAACATGCTTGTCTACAATGAAATCCATTATCCTTGTCTTTCACAGAGGCCCTGCAGTTCTGATTCCCCCTCTTCATGGCTGGAGGTAGTGGGCGAGAGGAGGTGGAGGAGGGATGGAGCCAGGTACGGCCAGGCCCTTTGTGTGGCCACTCAGGAGGCACTCTCCCCATAAATGTTTGGGCTCCTAAATGGATCTGACCTCCCCTCCTCCAGTCCCTTTGCCTTTCATTTTCCTTCCCTCATTATTCTTGGGAAAAAAAACCCAACCCTCATCCGGATCATTAGCGTCAGAGACGGAGACGGGCGCTGAGTGCCACATGGAAGAGGTGAACGTACATTTCATTCAGTGCCCCTCGAGTGGCATTTTGCTCAAGGCTGCTCCTTCACAAAAGGAGATGTGAAAATGGTCCCCGCTGGCGGCTCACCGCTGGCCGCCCTGACAGGGCTCGATGCAAAGCTGCCTCTTCAGGGAGACAAAGCACAGCCATTTCTTCTGCCTTCGATTGATGTCTGAGTTGTTTGGGGAGCATTTAGAGAGGAGGGGAGAGGGGAAGGGGGGGTGAAATTCAATGAGAGAGCCTGGGCAATGCTAATAGAGATAACGGCTCTGAAAGACTCAAGGTTGAGTGCTCGGCATTTGGTCTGCCCGTCTTCAGCATCCTTCCCCGCTGTTTGGGGGGACATCAGCTATGACCCCTCCAGCGGCCCAGAATTAATTGAAGCCAACACCAAGAGCCCTGGGTACCCCTTGGCCAACTCTTTCCAAAGTCATAGATGCAGATTACACCACCCTGCCAGGGAGTAGCTGTTCTTGAGCATCCATCTCCCCAATGTGCTGTGAAAAGCAGCACCATGAAGCTCTGTGCCACCACCATCCTCCTCTGCCATGAACACGTCTTCTTCTGCTTCCTCCCAAATGCAGGAATGCACAATGTTTCCATGGGCAAGCAACTCTTGCTCTTCCTGCTCCATCCCAAATCCCATTCCATCTGCTCCCCACTGTAGTTCTGGAGGAGATGAGGTCCCCACCGCCATGGCCCAGGTGCTGCAGCCTCTCCTCTGCTCGATGGCCTGTGGCCAGCCTTCAACAGCTCACGTGCCCTCACGTGCAAACAACCTACCGGCTCTCGTTTGGTCTCTCTTTGAGGGAGAAATGTCAAAAAAAAGCAATACTTTTCTTATTCCTGCCCAATGGAGTGAAGACAGCCCCAGGTATCCTTGGCTAAATCTCCATCCCTGATCCTGGTCCCCTGGAGAAAAGGACAAACTAACCCAACTCTACCTACCCCAACCTCTTAAGACTGCAATGACCCAGATTAGCTCCCCCCGCTAACAGCAATAATCAGTGATTTGCTATAAAATAATCAGCAGTAAGAGGCAGTTCAGAGGCTCCTGAAGAGCAGGGAGCCCCAAAAGCAGAGTAAATTTTAGTGCTGCTTCACTGCCCGCGGTCACGCTCCAAAAATATCAGCAAAAGCCATACCCTGAGGTACATGGGCCATGGATTTCCAGGGCTCATGGTCTCCACCAGCTCCAAGCCCTGGATGCAAAACTGCCCTGTGATGCCCTGCCCCGGGTAACCCCCGGGTACATCGGATGGAGATTTAGGGTCCAGCTGGAGCTGGGGAGCTGCTTGTGCTCTGGAAGGCACCGCAGGTCTCAGGGCTGCTTTGGGATCCTGCGGGGATCTGGCTCTGCCCGGGGGTTTTGCTAAGTGCCTTCGCCCTTAATCCTCCCAGAGAGCATCAGCCCTGGGCAGCGGCAGCATCTCGAAGGGGCAAGCAAGGCTGTTCGCACCCCTCGGGGCTGCTCCTCTCTTGGCTCCCCGCAGCCTCCTGAATCCCCCTCCCATCCTCTCTTCTCTCCTGGAATATTCAATGTGTGATTTAAATAGAAAGGAAGTTGCAGAAAGGAGGAAAACGGGACACGGCTGAGTGTCACAGGGGCTGGGGCCAGTTCTCCCGTGGGACCCCAAAATGCAGCATGAGCTCTGGGTTGCAGGAATGAAGTCCCTGCTGGGCTCCTAAACCCTGCCGAAAGCTGGCTCCTCCCTAAGAAGCCGTAATCCCTCTTAGGGGCACGGGCAATAATCAGGGATTTGGCTCTGGGTGTGCAAATGTGTGTGTGTGTGTGTGTGTGTGTGTACAGCATGTGCGTGTGTCTGCGTGTGTATAACTGGGTCAAAAAGAAAAGAAAGGTAGCGTGAATGAGGAAAGAAAATGCTGAATTGGACAATCTGGAGTTCCTGACCCATCTCTCCTATTGCCCCAGAGATGGCTCTGCCCTGGGCTAACCCCCAGGGCCGGGTGCGCACCCGTGCCGGGCAGGAGGGGATGATCCGGTCCCAGTCCTGGAGGGAGGGCAGGATTTATCCACGGCACTTTTAGCCAGCTGAAAGTCAGGCAGCTTCTCCCAGCTCGTGGCCCGGGCTGGCTCCGCTGTCACCAAAGGATTTACATCCCAGGAGGACCTTCGCGTCCTCGGATGGATAGCAGGGACCCGAGAAGCTGCTCCAGGCAGGATGGGTGTCCCTCTGTGGGGACAGGACACCCCCTCAGGAGGGTCACAGCTGTGCCCCTACCCCAGCCATGGATTTGCTGACCCTGTCCTTCCAGGCCAG